GCTTATCAATGTCTGCTCTGAAAGGTGAGATTTTAGTTTATTTTAACATCCTGATAAGAATCCTTAGCTTTTTTTCGATATTATTAGCCTAACTAAGCTGACGAAATACACAATTACTGTAACTGTGAAATGTAAACTTTTACAACTTCCCTTACGAAAATTAACTATGGTATTACTAATTTTTTTTTTTTAAACATTGTTACTATAGTTAAACCATGGTAATCACAAATTACACTAACCATAGTTTAACCATGGTATTTGTGTGGTTACATAAATGGTAAAAAACAAAACAACAAAAAATGAAGAATAAATTAGTCTTCAGTCTAGATTTAAATGTGTCCAAAGATTATGATTAATCTTTGATTATTTGTGTCCTAGCCTGGAGGCACGCAAACCCGTTTTCTTCGGGCTAGATGACGTTCTGTATACCATGCCGTCCGACTCTGAGGACTTTGGGCCTGCTTTGGTTGGCACTCTCCGGCCTAGTGGCCAGGAAGCACAGCCTTCTGCTGCCTTCACGGAGCTCATGGATGTATTAGCGCATGCTACTGAGAAGCTTAAAATTGAGTCCCAATCCTCGAAGTTTGACAAGTGTTTCTTGTCAAACTTAGTGGCCCTAATTCTCATCCAGCTCGGAGAAAGCTGCCATTTTTCAGTGATCTGCATCATTAGATTTCCAGAACCTGGAACCAGCCTTTTTCTGCTCGCCTCATTAATGCGGTGGCCGCTGACTTCACCAACCTCGTTTGCTCTGTGGAGCAGGGTTACGCTGCTATTCCAGCGATTGAGGACATACTGGCCACTCACCTTTCGCCTTCATCTGCCCCATCCTGGAAGTTCCGCCCTCTTCTTCCAACTAAGCCCTGTAGGACCACTTCTGCCCTTATCGGGAAGTCCTACATGGCGGCTGGTCAGGTGGTTATGGTGCTTCATACCATGGCCATTCTTCAGGCCTATCAATCGGATGAGTGGACGAGGGGGGGGTTTGACTTCAGTCAGTCAAGGAGCTCCGCAGGGTTATGGACCTGACGTTGCATGCAACTAAGCACACTGCACACACGTTGGGTGTACGATGGCGGGATTGGTGGCTGCTGAACTCCACCTTTGGTTAAATCTTATGGATATTCGCGAGAAGGAGAACGTTTTTCTCCTTAATGCCCCTATCTCCCAATCGGGTTTATTTGGTGAGGCGGTCATCTCAGTAGTGGATAAATTTCGTACCGTTAAGACTCAATCGGCTGCCCTTAAGAATTTATGCCGAGGAGGGCTGGCAAATCTTCCAACCCTACCATCGCACCTAGGGACCGCTCTGTGCTCAGGAAAGAGCCCGTTAGGAGGAGTGACGAACCGGTGCATCCCCCACTTCACATGGTTTGAGGTAAGTGGATTGAGCTGAAGCACTCGGATAAACCAGCGGCTTCAGCTTCTCTGGGTCTTTCCTGATCTATGTCAGGAAACAGAGAGCTTCTCCCATTTCAGGGGTTTGGGACAGATGGTCCAAATGTATCTGTCCCCCCTGAAATGCTCTCCAGGTGTAGATCTACTACATCCGCCGCCAAGCGCGTTTCGGTGTGCAGAAATTGTTAGGCCTCGCTCTCTTCCAATATTGAAGGAAGGAGACGCTTTGAACTATCTCCCCTCAGTGCCTCTTGGCTTTCTCCCCGTGTCAGCCACTTCTGCCTATGCATCAGACCACACGTCTGCTCCGGCCCTTATCGCAAGAGGACACCATTGGCTCTCCTCCACTGTTGTTGCTGCAATGCCCACCTCCACCAGCGTGACATGAATCGTGTTTTTTTAAATCGTTTAATCATTTAACCTGAAGAAGGACAGTAGTCTGTACCCCATCCTGGATCTGTGTTGCCTGAAATTTTCCCTTTACAAAGAGAAGTTGAAGATGCTGACGCTGAAAGCTATTCTGACTCAAACTCGTGTAGGGGATTGATTTGTCACTGAAGACCTGAAAGATACTTATTTTTATATTCAGGTTGTTCAGCAACACAGGAGGCTCCTCAGGTTTGCCTTTGGGTGAAAGGCTTACCAATATCAGGTTCTCCCTTTTGGTCTGGCTTTGGCTCCATGGACGTTCACAAAGTGCATGGATGCTGCTCTGGCCCCGCTGAGGCTCCAGGGCATCTGTATGCTCAACAACCTGGATGATTGGCTCATCCTGGCCCAATCCAGGGAGTTGGGGTGTCGTCACAGGGACATTCTTCTTCACCACCTTCTGTCTCTTGGCCTCAGGCTGAACGCCCAGAAGAGTATTCTCACTCCTTCTCAGCGGACCATTTTCTTGGGGGTGCAGCTCGATTCTGTCTCAATGAAGGCCTGTTTGGCTCCTGCTCAAGTTTACGTGTCAGAACGCGTTTGGCCCGCTTCAAGCTAGGCCATCATGTTTTGGTGGGCACATGTCCCAGGCTCCTGGGTCTCATGGCAGCAGCTTCTCCTGTACGACCCTAGGGCTGCTTTACATGAGGCTGTAGTGGATGAAGCTCAAAGGAGTTCGCCCCTCGTGGCCAGCCCTCCACCTACTGAGAATGTTACGCAGTTGCTTTCGTGCCCTCTCGATATGGCAGGACCCTCGCTTCCTGTTGCAGGAGGTCTGGATGGGCACTGTTTGCCGTCGCCAAGTGATTACAATGGACACCTCATTGACCCAATGGAACTTCTTCAGTAGGAAATCTGAGGAGTGGATGGCACTTTCACTAGTATTAGAGTGAGTGATGTAGCATCACCGAGGCGGTGCCCGCGCCATCGGCCAATGAATTGACGTGATTCTATATGGTCTTCAGACAATCTGCAAACCTTTAAAGGACGTTCCCATGTCGTCATCGCTACACAGCGTCTCGTTCCCTATTCAGAAAATATGGGTTACGCAAACAAGACGTTTTTGTTTCATGCAGATGTGTTTTATGTAGCATAATTTCACAAAGCTGAAGTCAAACCATTCTGTTTTTGCTTCTGTTTCTAATTTACAGTAAATCAGAAACTGCTTATACTATATGTCTGTAGCATTTTTGTTTGGATCATGATTAAATTGCAGTGGTTATCTCTAATTTAAAATACCTGCAGATAGTTCTGCCTGTAGAGCAAATAAACATATTGTCCATGTACACATATTTTTTTCTTTCTGTCTCTTGCTTAAAAAAATAAAAAATAAAAAATCAGAATAGACCCATTTGCTTATTAAAAAAAATTGGAAATCGAATCGGACATGAAAAATCTAAACTGGTGCATCACTATACATATGTTGGCAACAAAGAAACAATTATTACCCACTGCACTGTACATCTCAGTTATTCATGGGACTGTAATAATTGGACTTTTGTGAGACAAATAAAAAATAATAAAAGGTTGTTTTATAAACATAGTGCCTGCCTCCAAGCCAATGAACTCTGAATGAGATATTGAACAACTATTTTCAACTATTACAAAAACCACTATTTTTGTGTACTATTTTTCTGGACTGGACTGGACAAAAGATGTGATGAATTTGTGTTTTGTGTGTGTGTGTTTTTTTTTTTTTGTTGTTTTTTTTTGGTGACAGTCTGTATAAGTGTATCATTTAACTTTTCCCCATGGTCTTAGAATTTAAAAAAGCACACAACTATTGCAATACATAGCAATATTGAATCACAATACTTGTGGAATCACAATTCTTACAAATCGCAATATATATCTTATTGGCACCCAAGTATCATGATAGTATCACATCAGGAGATAGGTCCCAGATATCCTCCCAGCCCTGAGGAGATATGCAACTTAAGTACTGTACACTCATGCACACACATACACTAGTTTGTTTGTCCCCCATGGTGGGAAATGTCCACTGACTTTTATTGTTTTTATAATGAGTTAATGATAATAAACAGATTTTTAAAAAACTGCATTTTCAGAAATATATCAAACTTCACTTTAGTCAGGCAATCCCCTTTTTTGGTAAATCAAGGAAATTAAATTCAAGATTTTCATTTTCAGTGTTTACCTACCATCTTGTTAAAAAATAATAATAACATTACATTCACTGCATTATAAAGTTATTATGAAGGATAAAAAAACAGCATTTTCAGAAATATATCAAACTTAAATTTTGTCAGGCTACTTGTATTGCTTGTGTAAGCCCAACTGTTGTTGTTTTCTTTTTCTTTTTTTTATGTGTTAATAATGAGGGTGCATTTTTTATGTCAAATTTGATGTCTATAAAACCTTACCAAGATTTTAAGTGTGGGCACACAAAGAAGTATACAAATGCACAATCTCTATCATGGCACATGACATAAATCACACAAAAGACACTGTCTCTGAGACACTGTGTCTTCCCACCCATCTATTACAGTGACCACACAAGCACTGTGTAATCATTGTGATAGACACACGCAGAGACACTCTTTAGAAACCACAAAAACAACTGTTAATATTGAAGTATAACATTTCACTTAATCCAAATAAAAACAATATGACTTTTCCTAAAACAACAGTGCCATCATGTGGCTAAAAGAACAAGAATCTGAAAACATAAACCATAAGCATAAAGGTTTTTATTATATTGTGCCGAATATACACTGCAAAGATGGCACTGAAGTGCTTCTTAAGTGGCAATTACTGTAGGTGTCTTTACACAGACTATTTAATGCTCCTCAGAGGTGGCATAAATGCATTTCCACAGCAATTACAACTATACTTTGATAAAAGAGGCTGAGATGGATCTGAGCAGGTATTATTTAGTCTGACTTTTATGTGGCTTTGCCCTTTTACACTAAATTTTGAGGAGGCACGGAGCAATACCCTATTTTGGTAAATCAATTAAATGAAATTCAAGATTTTTATTTTCAGTGTTTACCTACCATCTTGTTAAAAAATAATAATAACATTAAATTTACTGCATTATAAAGTTATTATGAAGGAACATAAGTATATATTTACCAAAGCATATAAAGCTGTCTAAGTATGCTAAATGAAATCAAAACTACATTTGTACATACAGTATAATGTAAAACTACCTGGTTTAAGGTTTGAGCCTGATGAAGAAGCTCTGTTCTTCTTTGTTCAGCCCTGTGGGTATGATATGAGTTTTTCTGACTCTGTATAACAAAAACCACATCCCGCACTTCTGCCATAGAGGATGAGAACAGGGAATGTGGGAAATTTTTTTTTGACATAGTGCCTAGCAGAGTCAATACATTTTTCATATGCCTCAATTAGAAAAAAAATTAGATATCAAAATAATCTGTTTGATATTACAGGACTTGTAACCTTTAAATGTATTTAAAAAACAAACAAATAAACATTCAAACTGGAGATATTGTTTGAATATCTTCTATTTGTAAATGCAGGTAATGACATGCTACTATAATTACATGTAATTCTGATTAATGATGATTGCAAAATAATCAGAAGGAAGAAGCCACACTGTGCAACTCACCAGTAAATTGGTCAAACATTTGTGGATCACTTCTTTCTTGTTTCTGTGAGGGACCATATGAAGCATTAATGTTTTATTCAGTTTTACTGTAATAAATGTACATGTATTCTGTACATGGCCACACACGTGTTGGTTTTTATGTTTTATAAACTGTATATTCTATCCCCCTACACTAACCCTACCCATAAACCTACCCCTCACAGAAAACCTTCAGCATTTATACATTTTTTATAAAACATTGTTTAGTATGGTCTTCGCTATTTTAATTAGTAAATAATTAATAAACATTAACCATGTTTATGTTGTTATACCAGTGTAATACCCATGTCATTATACAAATTAATGTCCTCATAAATTATATAAACGTGCACACACACACACATATACACACACACAGGTTAAACAGTGTGAATTTGCTTTCAACAAGTTCAACATGAATTATTGTCAGCTATATACTGAGATGACTTAAAGGGGTCATATGATGCAATTTCAATTTTTCCTTTCTCTTTGAAGTGTTACAAGCTCTTGGTGCATAAAGAAGATCTGTAAAGTTGCAAAGACTAAAGTCTCAAATCCAAAGAGATATTCTTTATAAAAGTTAAGAGTCAACCATACCTACCTAAAATGGCTCGTTCTAACACGCCCCCACATACCTACGTCACGATGTGGGAAGATTTGCATAACGCAACCCAAATGTTCACGCAAAGAAAGAAAGCATAACTTTTATTCTCGCTGTAGTATTGATGCCGCCATGTCGAGACGCTGTGTGTTTCGTTGTGAAAGCAAATCTACTTTGTGGCCTTCCAAATGAGGACACAACTAGAAATCAGTGGTTAAGTTGTATTTACAACACTGTTCCAGAACAGTTCAACCCAAATATTCAGATGTGTCCAGTGCATTTTATGGAGGACT